CCCGCCCTGGTGTTGCACAGATGCTCCCCCGCGGGGCGGAAGGGAGCCTCCTCTGAGGGGTGAAGCGCTTGTTCCCCGTCTCCCCCCCCCCAATCTCGGCCCGAAAAGCCACCGTGGGGGTCATGTCCATCTCTTGCTTGTCGTTCGAGTCCCACTCCTCCCACTCCCAGAGCTCCAAGTGGGCGTGCTAGGGCGGCCTCCTGTTCCTCCTCCGCAACAGCAGCCCTGTTAGGTAGGCTTGGCTGCGAGGCAGGGGTGGGCCCAGAGGTCCTTGGGGAACTCCACTGCCAGGTGGGACGTGAGTGCGAGTCTTCCCCAGGCCCGTGCCACCTCTTCATCGTTCACTGCACAGGCTCTGCCCTTCTGTGCCTCTGACTTCCCATCATTAAAGATGATTGATCGCTAATTTATAACGGTCAAGAAGGCCGGTCCTACAGCCTGGCTGTGTCCCCCAGCTTTTAAAGCTGAAATGGTCCCCTGGTTGTGGGCTTGAGCAGAGCTGAATTAATAATCTTTTCTGGTCGAGGACGGTGACGTGTTCAGTGTCTCCATCCCAACACTCTTAAACCTGTTTCAGGCCTTTGCTTTTGCTGCCGAAGTGTCCGATTGGAGTGAGACCGGAGTGCTGCTTGAGGGCCAAACTCTGCCTCCAATTGCGCTGTTTGCGGTTCAGGTAAAATCTCTCTCAGTTTGACCATGACTCCCGATGACGGTGTGGACACTTCCATGCGTCTCCGTCTCTCTCTCTCTCTCTCTGTTGTAAGCTGCCTCGAATATTTCTCTAAACAGAATAGTCAGATATATTATTCACTAATGTATAAATGCAATAACATTGTTTTTTAATAACAGTATAGAAATAGTTTGTTGTTGTCTTTCTTCTTTTTTTTTTTTTTTAAGATTTTTATCCCGGCCTTTTTTCACATACAACTGCTTCCTCTTCCTATTTTCCCCACAACCCTGTGAGGTGAGTTGGCCCGAGAGAGAATAAGTGGCACAAAGTCATCCAGATGGCTTTCATGCCTAAGAGAGGACTAGAACTCACAGTCTCCTATTTTTTTTCTTCTCCTTCTCCTTCTCCTTCTTCTCCATCTCCTTCTCCTTCTTCTCCTTCCTTTCTTCTCACTCTAGTCTACAACTAATTCACCTGCAACTAATCTGGTCCAACACTGCTTAGTTTTCCATGATCAGTTCCATGTTGCCACCTGGCTGGGCACATTTATGAGGCCATAATAATCTGTACAAGCAACCCCCTGATTTTACAGGCAAAATCTTAGTTCAGACTTCTTCCCCAAATAAGGAACAAAGTCTGCTGTTGCCAAGCAATTTGTTCAAGGGATGCAATCTATGTCATTCGTGTCAATTTACATAATTTAATTACATAATGGACACAGGCCCTTTGGATCCCTTGATATCATTTGCACAAATGAAGTAAATTATGAAACTGACAAAAATTGGTCAATTACATGCACTTGGCTTTAATGGACACTCCTTTTCCCCAAGGCTTGTTAAATGAAGGGTTTATTGGAGCCAAGTGGGTTTATGTCTTCAGGCCAAATGGAACGCGGAGAACTGGGTGAATGAAAGATGTAAAGGGAAGTGTCTCCCCAAGGTCATAGTTTGCATGAATAACTCCAAATTGTCTTCTTGCAAAAGTCCAGAAGTTGGTTCTCATTCCCGTTGTCTGTGGTGGTGGTTCTTAGCCTGATTTAAAAGCCTGGGATTTCTTATGGTCTGTCCACCATGTCTGAACTGGTTCAACTTTGCTTCATTTTTTTGAGATCAGCCAAGGTTGCCCAGATACTGCCACCCTCTAGGACACGGTGTCTTTTAAGGCCAGAGAAACAAGACATGATCCATGTGGCTTATTTCTCTCTTCTCCTCTCCACCAGAAATCCAGACAGAACACTTTTTGCACTTACAGAAAACTACCTTAGAGTTGCTGACTGAGAGATTAAAAGCAGAAGGGAGTAGAGGGAATGTTCTTTGCTTTTTTCATCCACTGAAAATGACCTCTTTCTCCTTCCTCCTTTTTTTGGGGGGGGAGGTAGGGGGAACAGCCATGAAGGAGTTAATCTGAAGTGAAAGGAAAGAAATATCTAAGCAAAAGAATATAGTTTGGCCCTAGATTAGCAGGATCAGTTGTGTCGAAATGTGCAAGTATTCCTGACAGATCTTCAGTAGCAATTAATACTCCACTGATCATCCATTATGTAGAGTAGTAGTAAAAGCAGGAGTTAGGTGTGATAGTCAATGGTAGGATTCTCAGTTGAGAGCGGATATTAACTAGCCTGGGTAAATAACATGCCATGAGTCTGAAGGTGACATGTTTGGGAATTCCGAAACTGGAGCTAACCCTGATCGTTGTCTACATTTTTTGGTCTCCAGGTACTGATGCCACAACCATGCCGGCTTTCAGGCAAGTTGGGGAGAAGCAGCTTCCTCAGGAAATCATTTTTATGGCCTGGTCTCCTAAGAGGGATCTGATTGCCTTGGCAAACAAAGTGGGAGAGGTAAGTGGAGATGGTCCTATGGAGAGTGAGATGCAGTAGTTGTAGGACACTCAAAGTCTTGGGATCCCAATCTTGTCAAAGAGGTGACTTTGCAGTTATGAAACTGTTTATCTAGATCAGTGTTTCTCAACCTTGGCAACTTTAAGCTGTGTGGACCAACTCCCAGAATTTCCCAGCCAGCCATGCTG